TAACGTGTGGGGCTATGGATAGAAGATTCAAGGTTGTAGCTCGCACAATATGTCACTGAACACATTTCTCGCTTTCAGCTGCGATATAAAAATGACTGCCATTCCCATTATTTAGTTTACAGTAGTCGTGTATGCGGTTGGTGCTGCTGACTGCTTGCCCTTCCTTTGGTCGGTAGCTCTAAACTAGGCTAGGAATTTCTGACCTGACTGTCTAGCTCATAAGTCGCATAAGGTACTGTTTAGGTAGAAAATAAAAAATACCTAATTGATTATGTAATATTTTAAGTTATTAATCTTAAGAAGAAATAAATATATTTTTATTAACATTTGAGTATCGTACTCGTGAACAGCATAATTTTGATGTGAAGGTTACATAATGATGGATTCTAACGAGATTATTCAAGTGTATGTGTCATAACATACTTTTCATAATGATGAGTGGTGCCGAAAAAATAAGAAACATTTAGTGTGCTATTAAACCTTCAGTCTTTTATTTATCTTATCATAAACCTTAGAAGGAGAAACAGAACAAAAATCCGGTTCAATGAAGTTGTCTTCTGGATGATATTTGCATCACTGTTTCTCACTGTGTTTTTATTAAGTTTGCATTCTTTTTTTTTTTTTTTTTTATACGACTAGTACATTGTGCCCTAAAACGGTAGAGTTTTGTAATTTTAACTGTAATAATTCACCACGTGTTTAAACTTTACTTAAAAAAAAAACGGGAATAACCACCACTATTTCATGTTTGTACCTTTATGTACACTATTGGAAATAATTATGGAAACAGTGAGAAAGTTGGGTATGAAATGGAAATATTGTGGGATTGCTTCCTCAAATGTATAAAAATTAACCATATCAGAGTGCAATCACGTGTTGATAATTCACACTGTAACTGGATGCCATACAGTGCCACATCAGCATAATACATATGAAAGTACAAACAGTCATACTATTCCCAGCATTTTCGCGGTATATGTACACACGGCCCCCAGCCCCAAAACAGAAATATCACATGACAAACGTTTGGGTCGGTGAAGTCTACTCCTTGCCACAGATTGAGGCGATATCTTATGTTTCAATGAAACTAGTTCTGTCGATAATGGAGTTAGAATGTCCAAACCATTCAAAAGTGATGTTAAGTAACGCAGTAACGTGATACTTGATAATCTGTTACAGATTTTGCAACTACTTAGCTGTAAGTACAGTGATGAATGTTACCTCCAGAACAGTAAGGTACGAATTATCATGAAGTAACTTCATTGAATACGTAGTTGTCCAAAAAACCACCGCTTAGAAGATATAACTAAATATACTGGTATCAGAATTCAAACAATGAGATGAGCAAAACTGTAGGAGAGTGCTCTTTATAGATGACTTCAACTTCAAATTTTTTGGCAACATTCAACAATGGTTTGTTCAATGGCAGAGAGAGAAGACTGGTAGCACTGTTAACGTACCACATCTACGGTGAGAATGCTAGGGGACCAATACAATTGTGGTGTTGGAGATATATATATACAAAAGTCATTGCTCACTGAGTGACGACAAGTACAATTATATTCACTCACGAACAAGACCTACTGGGTACGGATCCGCCTTGCGGAAAGACAATAATCCCAATCTTTCAGCAAATATGGCAAAAATGATATCTGTAAAGAAGAAGAAGAAGAAAGAAAGAAAAAAAAAGAGGCCAACCGAACACTCGCGACCATTGTTTGATCAGTACTAAATCCTGGTTTGAATATTATTAAGGTTATATCGGCTTGTCTACAAACTGAGAAGTTCAAAGGGCAACCCAACAATTTACTGAATTATAAAGGGTAATACAGGATATTTCGAATAATATTTGAAAATCATATATTCATACTCGCATGGTAGCATAAAACCCAAGTCTACCGTTTTGCTCAAAAGTCTTAAAACATTTTACAACTTATTCGCATTAGTTCAATCTACTAATTTTTTTATGACACCAATGCTGTGTGTCTGAAAATAACCTAATGATAAATCTTTGGGCAAAACATGTAAGCCCTTATCCTGTAAATGATTAGGCCTGGCATGGCCAGGTGGTCAGAGCGCTCGACGCGTCATCTTCAGGTCGCGGTTTCGAATCCCCGTCCCACCAAACATGCTCGCCCTATCAGCCGTGGGAGCATTATATTGTGACGGTCAATCCCACTATTTGTTGGTAAAAGAGTAGCCCAAGAGTTGGCGGTGGGTGATGATGACTAGCTGCCTTTCTTCTAGTCTTACACTGCCAAATTAGGGACGGTTAGCGCAGATAGCCTTCGTGTATCTTTGCGCGAAATTCATAACAAGCCTGTAAACGATTGATATTCAATGCGTGTCGAATCTTTAGGGTATCGGAAATGACATCACAAAGTTTCCATTTTTGAGCTTTTGTCCTTACACATGTCGCTAAGTCTTTTCTCAAGGAAGTCCTTTTGTGTAGTATGATTTGGTTTTTGTTCATTTAAATTATAATGTATGCTAAAAAGTATCATCTATTTCCTTTCATACAAATTACGATCTGCATTTGAAGTTGTAAATAAAAATCTGAAATCTGTGTATCTAAAGAAATAATAATAATGTAAGAAACCTTGACACTTTGTATTTGAGAATTCTGTTTAATCTTGAACTCCACAAAGTTATTCTATAACGCAAGTTGTGAAATATTCCCTGTATTCACATTTTCCTATGTTAAAAGCGCGTTCTCGCGTGCAGAATTGCTTTAGATCATGAGGAAATGATTGGCTCGAATAGCCATACAGCTTCTGAATATCTTTTGTTTTCCGTTCATCAGCGATAGCTGTGCTTTGATATTCATAACTCTGTTTCTCAAGTATATATTTTTATCCTTACTTGGTATTGTACTAAGGACGCCCCTAAACGCCTAATGAGTCATGTAGTAATAATAAAAATACCTAATGCTTAACAATAAGAAATGATCAACATTCGATGAAAGAAGTGCAAAAGGTAAATAAAATAACACCCCTTTAAAGAAGTGCACAAGGTAAATAAAGTTTTGTTTTGTATGTTTGGAATTATGCACAAAGCTACACAAGGGGCTATCTGCACTACGAGTATTGAAACACGGTTTCTAGCGTTGTAAGTCCGCAGACATACCGCTAGTGCCACCTGCTGTTA